GAAAAAAATTTATAAAAATATTAACTATAACAAAATATCTTCCATGTTAGCTCATATCACTGGGAAGAAGCTGCTATTCCTATATTAATAATTCTTCCCAGAATTAATCAGTCATTGTACATTAGAACCAGCAGCTGGAGTGTTTTGAGTGATAATGAAACCTGTAACAAGGCATCTTCAGCCGTCTTTTCAAGACAATAAGGGAATTAAAATTTCAATTTAAATGCAGAGGTTTGAAACACGCTTCACTGGCAAAATTACTTCAATTAATGTGAGTGGAATACAAAGGACAGACTGCAGAAGTGTGATGCAGTAACCAGAAATTATGTCATTAATGTGCTTGTATCAACCTAGCACAATGACTGCAAGGGTCTAATTTAAACCACACATATCACAAAACTACAGGCTACAATATTAATCAAGTTTCTGATTTCAGTGTGATGGATACAGGTTTCTTGTTGGATCACTTTTAGCTTTTCATAAGCAAACAGCAGCAGTTTACCTTGAAAACAAAAACAAAAGACCAAGTTTATTTGCAGACATTCCCTGCAATGACAATTTAGTTATTTTATGCAGTACTTGGGTTATCATACCAAAAGAAGCAATAAATATCCCACCTACAAGCCCAGCCTATAGCTACTAGACCAGTCTGGTGGTGAAACAGGAATAGCAGGAGCGGCAAGAACCACAGGTCAACACTGATTTCCATACTCTGGATTTTTAACCCATGCTGAGTAGAGATCAAATTACCATACATCTGCATCTGTACCTACCTTAAAATGAAAAATGCAATATCTTCTGGCAAACAAATCCAAGAAAATTAGGGAATTTTGAAAGACTAGATTGTTCGGTCTTTATTTTCCTCTTCTATTGTTAAGCAAAGGTTTACATTTGCACCTTTAAGATTCCTTAGGTAGGTTTTAATACCTACCTAATAATATGTAACACCTAATACCTCCAATAATATGTAATCATGGGGAAAAAAATATGATTATTTTTATATAAAGTACAGTAAAAGAGCAGTTATAGAACTTACTCTTCACTCATATACAAAAGACCAAGTTGAAGACTATTTGCAACCTCTTAGACACACTTTAAATCCCACTTTCAATGAAATCTTTGTTAACCATTGCTTATTGTGGAATATGTCAACTCCCAGATCATGTAAAATAACCACCTCATCTGCAAAATGCAATGATCTCAGAAACCTGTAGAGTGCTTATGAAAATTAACTAGATTAACAAATGTCACTTCTTAAAATGGTAAAAGTAGGTGCTCACAAATTAACTATGCTATAATTATTGTTGTTCATTTAAATATTATGAAACAGAAAGTTTAGAAACAAGAGAAGCATGTCATTCAAAATAACAAACACTAAACACTAATAATAAGAGAAAAAAAAAAAAAAACAGAGCTGGACCCCTAGAAAACAAACAAGATTTTTGGGTTTTTGTTTGTTTTGTTTTTTTTTTTAAATATGTACCAGAATTAAAATCTTCCATTTATTACCATTTTTGGGTACTGATTGTGAATTCTGCCCCTTTGAACTATACTTTAGGTACAGAGCAGAAAAACATACACAAGGCAAAACCCCACCCTTAAGGACCTATCACACAAACAAAAAGCAATTGTGTCACAGTGAAATACATGTAGTTTATAAGAATGTATAGCAAAAAAAAAAAAAAGTGTCTAGGTATCTGAAACATTCAGAGAATGGGTGAAATTTGAGCCAAATTTTAAAGAATACCTCAGGATTTTGCAAGCAAACAGGATTGAGAAATCAGTTCAGGGAGCTACATGGTAAATTTAAAAATATAAATCTATCACATATTTATATGCCAGCTACAAATATCTAGAAACAATAATTAACAAAGAGCTACTATCTTCAAAAAGTATGATGCCCAGATGAAATCTAACAAAATATATGTAATACAGTACTTTTAGGAAACGTATTACTAAGCATTATTAGAAGGCATAAATGAAGGTTCCCAAAATGAGGCATATCCTTCTCACTGATAGAAGACTCATTATTGCTAGCATAGAAATGTTTTTTTTTTATTTTAAAGAGATTAAGACAAAAGAGGACATAACAAAGCAGATCAGAACAGAACAATGTAAGGAGCACAGTATTTCACCACAAGACAACCCGTAATTAACAATAGCTAGCATAATGTCTTTCTTTGAAATAGCTGAGCACACCTTCATATACAATATTATCAAACATAACAAAATAGCATAAAACCATTCAAGAGAATGACAGTATTACAGGGCATTCAAACCAAATAACAGAAAACGAACAATGGCTACTATATTCTCTCACTGTCCACAAAAAATTGGTTTATACTACCACACATAATAATAGAAATATTCTTAAAGTCAATCAAAATCATATTATACTTTTTGTGGAACTCTGCAGAAGACTAAAGGACCAAGGACAGCAAAGATAATTTTGAATAGCAAAATAACTATAAAGTTATATTATAAAATTATAATAATTAAAACCACCTCGTTCACAGGTATGGAAAGGATCAATTGAATAAAAGAAATAACACTGGAACAAACTCATGCATAAGTGAAAACCTAGTCTGTGATGACTGGCATTCTAAATCAATAGAAGAAGGATTTCAATAAATAGTCTGAGGGCTATAAAGGAGAAAAATAAAATTAGATCCCTAGTTGTATCACTTATAAAAATGGACTTTTGATAAATTAAAGAAAATAGGCAAGTCTCTGTAAGACATGGCAAAGCAAAAGTTCTTAAAATAAAATCCTATGATATGAAAAAATAAGAAAGAAATTTTACTACATTAAAATTATAAAATTTTTATAATAAAAGATACCATAAACAAGGTAAAAAGATATACTACCAACTTGGATATTTGCAATTCATCTAGAAGACAAAGGATTAGCATACGTAATATATGAACTACAAATAAAAACAAAAGGAACAAAATTTCTTGGAAATATACCTCACATACATACGCTGTCTGGAGCCAACCATTCTTCCTCACCACCCCACTTCTCACTACTCAACCCAATGATTTTAGATAGAACAGATGATCATGGTACTGAAATTAGTTCTATTTAGATCTCAGATTTTTTTCATTAGAAAAAAAGACAATTTTCTTCTTCAAAGCAATATTCTGTTAAAAATTTTTTTTTCTTTCTGCAAATCTGGAAAGATATAGATTATGGCCTATACCCTTCTCTCTCAATACCCAAGCCTCTTCCCCACTTAATTTCCCATGCAATAAAGTCCTTCCTAAAGAAAAAAAATCAACCAATTTTCTTTTTCCCTGGGACCAGAAATTGAACTCAGGACCTCGCACTCACCAAGCAGCACTGTCCTTCTAAGCTGTATCCCTGGCCCAAAAAAAAAAAAAAAACCAATTTTAAAAAAGGAGATAGAATTCATTATTGACTAGCCTTAAGTAATAAAACCATAAATCAAAAATCTGAAATCCTAAAATGAACACAATACAGAAATAAATTCTAATAATCTAATTTAATATGTGACACTTACTTGAAAGCAGGCTCACTGCCAAAAACTGCAATTTGAACAGATGTACATATCCTATACAAATATATATATATGCTTATCTATTCTGATTTCTGAATCTTCATAATTTATCCCAATAAGTATAAACCAACACAAAAGCTGAAAAGTAGTATTTTTCTGTTGAACAATATATAGTCATTATTAAAGAAGGTATCATTTTGAATAAGATGCTGTAACCAATCCTATAACTCTCATGAACAAAACATTATTAACCTTCCACTGTGAAAAATGACTGCTCATTCATAACCAGGTTTCAATACAAAACAGAACACTATGACAGTTCCCACTCTTTGGTTATCAGTTTTCCCTAAAACACTTCATGAAAGACATAGTGAAATTCTTCTGGGAAGTTGGAATGAGTTAGAGATATTTAGCATATTTAATAAGTATTCCCACCAATATCTCCTAGTGTTACAGCTAATCTAATTTGGAGAAATAAAGATAAAGGGCTTTTACCTCTTGTGGAAAAGAAAACAATTCAAATACAATCATTCTGCTGCTGAGACTTCTGGGGTCCTCTGCTAACTCTGAATGAGCTGAAAGTGGATATGTACCGTCTCTAAGAGGCACAGGCCTTGGGAAAGTGAGGATTATGTGCAATTTTTTTTTTTTCACTCATTTGCTTCATACTTACCATCAACAACAACCTCCTAGGAACTTTCACAAATTCAAAAAGTAGCAAAACTCAACAGACTCAGATAGAGGCCAAACGCTACAGTATAGAGTACCCTTGCTTTTAACAAGATTGTCTGCAGCATAAGACTCAAAACATCATTTTCTTTGTTATTAATTGAAAGGAAAAAAAAAACAAACAAAGTGCTAAGGTTAAAGTTCTTTTAAATAACTTATTGAACATCAAGTTTATAAATCTTTAAAAATTCTGCATCATGTAGAATTCATTCTTTAAAATGAGACTTGTGCTAGGTCTGGTGACATACGACTGTGATCCCAGCCACTTGAGAGACTGACACAATAGGATCAAAAGATTCAGGAGAACATAAGCAATTTAGTAAGACCCTATTTCAAAATAAAATTTTAGAAAAAAGGGTTGATGATATAGCTCAGTAGTACAGCACTTGCCCAGTATATGTGAATCCCTGAGTTCATTTCCCACAAAACAAAGCAAAAACCAAAACAAGACAAAAATGGGATCCATTATCTTCCTCTGAAGCTTAAAAATACCTCTTATTATGATTGCAACATGATTTCAGTACTACTTTCTTCCATTATATAGCATGCCTTGCCATTGTTTCAAAAGCAGACAGTAAGTAATAATCATCTGCCACTTTAAACATGAATCGAGGGGAGAACTTCACCAGCAAGCCTTGTGAATCCTAAAAGGGCCATTTTTTAATGTGCATTACAAGCCTGAAAGAACAAGAAAAGGAGGCTTTTTTAAAATCTTAGTGGAAACAACCCTTTTCACGGGCTGTTCTCTTACCAACATATCAGTGGCACTGAGATAGTGCTTGCTGGCCATGCACTGTTCCAGCTTTTGAGGTACTTGCTTGATGTTTTCAATTTCATCGAGCAGGTTCAGGACATGCTTATGTTCAATTCCTTCAATCCACAGTTTCCGAAGTTCATCCCGTTTGCAGTGCAACAACATTTTGCATGAAAGCAGATTTTCTTTTACCTAGAGTACAACAGATTTGATCTTGGGTCAATCCAAAGTTTTGCCAGCCTAAACACGTAATATAGTTAGTATTTCTACTGGTACTACTATATGTAACAATTCCTAATTCCCAGCCCCACTTATTTCCCTTAGTTAGTCCACTTGCAAAATTCTAATCCTAGTTCTGAAACTGACTCACCTGGATGCACCTCTACCTCTCTGTGTCTGTATTTTCTCTCCCATGAAATTAGAAAATTACTCCCAACATACCTTTGAGTGAATCTAGAAATAATTACTAAGGATATAAGGCATTCTGAAAATACGAACCACCACATAAATGTAAACACGTTTAAAGGGGAATGATCAATTAGAGAATGTAACACTATTACTCCTTCTCTAACCTTCCTTCTAGATGATCTACTCAGCTGACAGGTCACATAATCCATGCTCTAAAACTTGAGTTTTCACTGAAAAACCTGCCGAGTTCTAAGGGGGCCCAATCATCACAGATGAGTCTCATAACATGTTACGAGTTACCAATTAGTTCTTTCCCTCTTTCAGACAAAATTGTTAGCCAAAGATCACAACACCCAAAGAAAGACAAGCATCAAAACATACAAAAAGAAAGAAGTACTGAGGTGGGAAAGGTACTGATAGGGAAACAGAAACCGTGCAAGAAATGTGAGTTCATGTGTGTGTGCGTGCGTGGAAGTGTGCACCTATGTCATACTAGAGATCAAACCAGGGGCATTCTACCACTGAGCAATATTCCCATCTGTTTTTATCTTTTATTTTGAGTCAGGGTCTCACTAAGCTACCCCGGCAGTATTCAAACTTGCAAACTTCCTAAGTAAGTCCCCCTTTCTGCTAAGATTACAGGTATGCACTACTGAGCCCAGCTTGGAATTATCTTGAGGAAAAATAAGAGAAATTATTACATCAATGAAACAAGACAGGTTAACTATAAAAAGTTTGGAAAATGAAAAACAACTCTTAGAAAAATATTTTATATGTTTAAAAAATTTTTTAAATGAAACAAAATTTAGAAAACATCTGTGATGAATTCTCCAAGAAAAAAAACACATGCACGAGCACACACACATACATGCATACATACATACATACATAATGAAAAACAAAAGAAAATAAGAGGATTGAACTAACAGTCCAATACTTGCCAAATATGAGATCCAGAGGAAGGAAAATAAAACAAAATAGAGCAGAAAAAATGTTAATAAAATCTAAAATTTAGAAACAAAATTTTTTAAAACAAAAATCATGAGTTCCCATATTGAAAAAAGCATACCAAGTACTTAGGACGATGGGGTGAGAAAAGTATCTCCACTGACACCTTAAGAACACAGGTGTAAGACACAATCCAAAAGCTTTTAATAAAAATAAAAGGAAGGTTTTATACAAAGAGTTAGGAGTCACAATGGCATCAGACTTTCCTGAACAGCAATACCAAAATCTGTAAGACAAAGGAACCTTATAACCTTCAAAATTATTTCCAAGAAAAGCTCTCACTCAAGTATGAAGAAAGAATAAACACATTTTCAGATGTGCAAACTCTCAAAAAGTGAACATTTTATACAGCACACCTCAGGAAATTTCTGTGGAATGTGGTGCACTAGTACAAGAGAAAAACAGAAGAGATGAAACATGGGCTCCAGGAAAGGGAGAGTACAGCACAGAAGAAAGGCAACAGGACCATTCATCATTAATGCTCAGGAAAATAGCAGAAGCAAAAAAATTACATCAGAGAAAACTTACATACTGCAAAGCTTAGTGGTAAATATTTACATAGTTATAAAATGAGCATTGGCTATTTAGCCAACAGTAGGACACAACTACTATTTTTAGAGAGGATTAAGGAGGAAGATGAGATGGAGTGGGGAAGGGCAGTGGAAAGAGGACTAAACCGTCATCTTCCAAAGCTGAACACAACGTTTAAAATGGAAAATTTAAGGAAAAAAAATAGTGTAAGCATCTAGTAAAACTAGAAACATCTGGGTAACAGGGTGCTAGAAAGATCCCTGAAGTGTCAGGATTGGGCCTAGAGTAGGATGAAGCAAGGAATCCCTAGTTTTCAGTAACCGTTTGGGGGTTGATTTGATTTGGGGCTGTCAAAGCCAGTTCTAGATCCCTCTTAAGAGTTCTTGGTTTCTGGGATAAGAGCTTCAGCTTTTAAATTCATTTCATTTGATGTCTTAGTTAACACTGTTAGAATTCGATTTCTAATATTCCATTCATATCACCTTAGTGCTATAATTCTCAGCTTTTTTCTTCCAGCTATAATATTTGCTATAGAAAGAGTTAAAAATAAATTTTATGTCATATGACACCCAACTAGGTTCTTGAATATAAGAGTGGGGGATAAACTTACAATATGTCAGTAAAGCTGGGAAAACTCCTATCTGATTGGAAAACGGCCACAATGGCATTTCATACTAGCATATATACCATATAATCCATTCAATTACCACTTTTGCTCATTAACTGTACGTAAAAGGGAAGATAAAGTAGAATTCGTGAAGGAAAAAAGCATAGGCATCAGGCACTATAGAAAATGAACTTTATCAAAATAATTCCCTTGCCGGGGATTTAGTTCAGCAGCATTAAGTGCCTGCCTGCCAAGTATAAGGTCATGAGTTCGATCCCCAGTACCAAAAAAAAAAATTTCCTAAACTTGGGTAACAACACTGTAGACACAAGAAACTACAAAACTTTCATTATTGAATCAGTCCAAGGCTTCACTTTTTGACTAAAAAGTCATATTTATATACAAATGTTACTTTAAAAGTTAAGCATGGGGTCAGTCAGCAACAAAAAAGAAAACACATGAAGAATCTCAAAAATACTCTGATGGGCAAAAGGCGTGAAATTCTAGAACAGGCAGAACTAAACCACAGTAACAAAACTGAACTCAGTTACTTGCAGCAGGATGTGGGATAAATTCACTGAAGAATATTCCATCCAATAATCTCCTTCAACATCCCTTGTGATCTTTCAAACAGGTGAGTCTTTGGGGGAACATTTTAGATCTAACCCATAACAAGGGAATTATATGTATTAAATGGATTTTTGCTTTGTGGTATTTTCAATTTAGAATAGGTTTATCAAAATATGATACTGCTGTAAGTCCAGGAACATTTATATAACCAAAGGAAATGAAAACATGTCAGATATCTGTACTATGTTCACTACGGCATTACCCATAAGAGCCAACATAAAGAATCAACCCAAGTGTCCATCAGTGGATGAAAAGGTAAGAAAAATGTGACTTACATACACAAGAGCATACTATTTAGCCTTTAAGAGAGATATCTTGTCATTTGTAACTAGGGGTCTTGACCTAGATCTCTGATCTCCCAAACCAGTGTATGGCAGCGGTTTAAATAAATTGAGACAAGTTATATGATTTTAGGGCTCCAAGAGGGTCAAAACGCTTTAGCTGAGCTCGAGACGGAGGCTAAGACAAAGACTTCTCTGGACCACCCACTTTATTAGGTCCAACAACAAGGGGCTGGGAAACTGAACAAAGTGCAGGCAATGAGCAGGACCTTGGGAGTCACTTCAAGGACGTCTCCAAGTAATGAATCAATTCAATTCAATGTAACTGTCTTATCATGAAGACATGGTAGGAGTGAGACTGTAGGAATAATTTCTGCAGCTGCAGTCTCTATCTTGTTAATTGGGGTTGGAGCCAAGTGTCCTCCGCTGTGGCCTTATCTTGCCCTATGAGGTATCTCTGACTTCACAGGCCACTACAGGCCTCAGCCAGGACCAGGGAGTGATTCATAGGGGTTTACTTACTATGAATCAGCTCCCATAGCCAGGCAAGGGGCCAAATCCTAGGATAGACCCACAGATAAACATAAAGTCCAATTAGTAAAATTTAAATCCTGCTCAGAGCCGCTTTGTAGTGGTCTCCAACATGTAACAACATGAATGAATCTGGACAAGATTATACTAAGTGAAATAAGTCAGGAATAAAAAGACAAACATCAGATGATCTCAGTTACCTGTAAAATCTTAAAAAGACAAGAATAAAAGTGATAGTTACAGCCAGGCACATAGGCACATGCTTGTAATCCCAGAACTCAAGAGGATGAGGAAGGAGGATTGCCATGAGTCAGTCAGCCTGGGTCACATAGTGAATTCAAGGCCAACCTGCACTACAAAGCAAGACCCTACCTCAAAACAATAAAAGTAAAGAAAAATTAAAAACCTGAACATCAAAAGTGATGATTATCAAGTTTAATAAGAATGAATTTTTAAAATCCTCACAAAATAGACTGACTACACGTAATAATAATGTACTTCATGTTCTAAAATCTCTAAGGCTGGGCCTGTGGCTCAGTGATAAGAGCCCACTTGCGTAGCATGCATAAAGCCCTGAGTTCAATTTCCAACATAAAAACCAATCAATCAACACAAAAAAATTGCTAAGAGATATTTTAAGTATTTGTACCACACAAAAGCAGTAAGTATGTGAAGTAATACAGATGTTGCTTAGCATAATTTAGACATCTCACAATGTATTCACATCTCAAAATATCATGTTGTACATAATAAATCAATGTAATTTTTACTTGCTATTTTAAAAATGGAGGAGTATCTATTCCCCTCAGTACCAAACTATATATATATATATATATATATATATATATTTCTCAAATTCCTGTTCTACTTTTATAAACGTGGTATTTTCATTCCATTCTATTCGATTTAAAAGGATAATTAAGATTGAAAAATTCCTTAAGCAAATATACAGAGACAAGCTCCTTTTGCTTCCTCAACATTTTAGTGACTTGCTCCTAACCACCTGTTCCATAAAACCAAGAATTTCAGTTTTCATACACAGGTGCTGCAAGTCATTCTAATTAGAGGCTATTAGAAGAAAGAAAAAAAAAAAAAAAAAACAAGGAAAACATGGCTCCAGAAGCCACGTGGATAGAAATGAGAAATGATCCAGCCAACAGAAAAGTAAAAATTTTGGCAGCCCAGTCTAGGGAAAG